CATCCCACACAGCAGCAGGCCAGGTGGTACATTGCCCTCCAGCCCTTGGCCGTGACGTCATGTTTCTCTAGTCAGTCAGAGTTGACTGGTGTTCATTTTCAGGACAATCATCCAGAATCCCTCCTGTGTCCCTCAACCCACAGCCAGCAGGTCACCAAGTCCCATAAATTCTACTTCCCCAGATATTACTGATTCTACCCTTCTCTTTACCCTCAGGCCACAGCCTTGGCTGCCCCAGTCTTCTAGTGGGTCCCTAGGCCTCCAGCCTGGGCTCCTCCAATCCAGGGTCATGCTTCTGCTGAAACAACCTTCCTTGAAGGCTAATTTTTCATTTTCACTCCTGGTTTAAAACCTTCCAGGTACAATGCTGCATTTCTTTATACTGACACCTCCTTTTTGTCTCTCCAGCTTTTTCTGTCTTACTCATCCCCTTGCAATGACTTCCCTTCCAGGGCGATCCTCTGAAATCACAGTGCCCTCTCCCACTTCTCTGAAGGTGCTGCCATTTCTGCTGGGGCCCCCTTCTTTCCCTCTTCCAGGTCCTTAGGAACTCAGCCCAGGCAGCCCCCCTTCTAAGCAGACAACCCTGACCGTCTGGTCTGTTTGATGCTCCTCATCCAGCCCCCACGGTGCCTGATATGCTTCACTTCCCTCATTTTTTCAAAAATAACCCTTTCAAAGCTCGGATTGTTTTAGGTCTCTTTGTGTCCCAAGGCCCTGTAGAAGGAAATCTACAAATATTTGCTGTATGAATTAGCTGCTGGTATGTTGTCATTTTGGTCTGGAAGGCTTTTCACCCCTTGCCTCATTTCTTAGATCTCCCCAAGAAAGGCCCAAATTAAATGCCATCTTCTCCATGAAGCCTTTCTTCCTTCCAAAGTTAGAATGACTCTCACTCTCTGCTGAGGTTCTTTGACATATATCATTTCTTTGTTTTATATTACTATATGCAAACTTTAATACCTTGAACCTTGAAAACTCAAAGGAGTGAATGTAACAAACATTCAAGAATGCACTCATTGGGACTGTGGGCACCAGGCCAGGAGTAGAAGACTGCTGAGAACCTGCTTTTCCTTTCTAAGTCACTTCAAGTAATTTCTCTGCTTGTTTGTAGGCTTGGGCCTACTATCTTTATTCTCTCCAGATGGATGGAAATTGCTTTTTTGAGGGTTGTTTCTATGTCTGATTTATTTTTATTCTGCCACCTGTGCCTAGCACAATGCCTTCCTCAGAGAAAGCCTCCAGTGGATGGATGAATGAATGAACAAAGTTAGTGGGAAGCAGCAAGCACTGTTTCCATTTGACTCCATCATGAAATAAGAGGTTTTATAGGCTGGTCTTAGGAGCATCTCTCACACTCATATTTTTTTGAGGGGTGGCAGTGATGTGTACTATATAAGAGGAATAAGAAGCCCTTTGCCCATATCCCCCAAGGTGAGAGAAAACCAGGCAGCAGTTTTGCCGTTGCATTTTCTTCAAACGAGTTCTTCTTAAAAAAAAAAAAAAAAAGGATCTCTCTTTGGTTCAGTGCCTAGGACATACCAGAGCTGGTTCTAGATCTCAAGGAACCAGCCACAATCAACAGCTGCTGAGACCCTCACTGATGGAGCTGTGGGTGAAGGGAGGGACAGAGGATGGGCACACTTTTGTTTGTAATATCTGCAGGACTTGAAACTCCTCTGAGAACAACACTGATTTTGCATAGCTTCTGTGGCACTTATTCTCTTGCAATGAACCTTTTGGTTGTTTGAAAGACCTATGGCTCCTTCAGTTCCTTTCCCCACATATTTAGATGTACCTTTGAAAAGATGTGCTGGAAAGATGGGTACTTGCTAGGCAACCGCAACTTCCCTGCTTCTGTACAGGCATTTCCCATAGCTTGAACTCTGTCTGCTGGAGCAGCCCCTGAGCTTTCTAGGAGTAAATAGAGATGGTGCCCCTTGTGGTTTAGATTCTTGGGTCCCTAGTTGCACCCTGAGTGTTCCTTTGGAGAGTGGCCTTCTACACATGCTTGAGCTAGGCCAAGGAGTTTTGCTCATGATATCAAGACTGATTAGAGAAAGCCACACAGGGTGAGTTTATGTGGTTAAGAATGGTCCCCCACTTTCCCCCCAATTATATACTGTCTAGTGAAATGCTGTATAATCAAAATATAATCCTACTCAGCACGTGTAATTTAAAATTTTCTAGTAGCCACGTTGAAAAGTAAAAAGAAATAGGTGAAATTAGTTTTAATAACATTTTATTTGACCCAGTAAACTTAAAATATCTTCAACATATCAAGACCAAAATTATCAGTGAGCTATCTTATCTTTTTATTTGTACTAAACCTATGAAATCTGGTGCATATTTTGCACTTACAGCATGTCTCAGAACTAGCCACATTTCAAATGCTCAGCAGCCACCTGTAGTTTATGGCTTCTACATTGGACAGTGATGATGCTTACCACTATCCAGGTGAGATGCAGGAGTGATTATTCTGGGCCCACTTGGCTCTCCACTAAGCCAAGATGAAAGAGATGGGGTACAAGGGAGTGTATTCAAATATATGAGTATCAATAGAGCTTTATAAATGTGATTTTATTATGTTTGGATGGAATTTTACTTTTCTTTTCTCTCTCCCCCTCCCCCCTCGTTCCTCTGCTAGAGATTGAACCTAGGGCCTCAGACATGCTAAGCACAGACTCTATCACCAATCTATATTTTAGAAAAATTAGGAACTATACTGGTCTCTGCATAAGGATGTTAACACAATAGAAGATATGTGCATGCTTAGGCTATGTTTTTTCTTTAATATGTGATAGAAATTTATTTTCCCTTTCTTTTCACATTAAATTGTCAGCCTTATCCAAGGGAGCCTCTACATTTCCTACTTTCTTTTTCAGGCTCCATATATGAAAACATTGTCTTTCAATCTGAATCGCTGTACCTTTGGACTCTCTCAGAGTTGGTGGGAATTCTGACTGATACTTCTAACTGGCTCTCTGGTGTCAGAGTCTGTGCTTGTTTTTCAAGCAAGAAATGATGGCAGGCCCAGCACAGGCCAAGTAGAAGCTTTTGAACTAAATCCTTGATGCATTAATGTAAGGAAGGGGTTTTCAAACTTTGGTTTTAGAAAAGTTGATATCTTTCTCAAACTGTAACCTCTGCCAAGAAGCAAAACACAGAATTTACAAAGAAATCTATGGAAACTTGTCTCTGATGCTAACTAGGCAGAAAGAGTTAAAAATTTCAAGTCTTGGGCCAGGGATTTAGCTCAGTGGTTTCGCCACCTGCTGCGCAAGCGCAAGGA